GGTGCAGCAATCACAGATGTCATTACAAGCCAAGCTGCCTGCAGTATCTCAAATACCATATGAGAGCCTGCCTGAGAAAGTCAAAACTCAAAAGATTGCTCAATATCCCCAGATTAAACTTGCAGCCTCTCTGCCTGCCACAACCCAGCGCAGAGAGGGGCGACTAACTGTGACTCTTGGGGAAAGCAGGCAGAGAAACTGGCCTGTGGTAGCTCAAGCAGATGCTAAGAAAAGCAGAAGAGCATTCAGCTGCAGCCAAGTGGTGAGCTCAGCAGGAGCGCTGAAGACAAGCACATTTGGGGGAATGCCAGACTCTGTAATATTGAGAATTAACGTCTAAGGATTTTGTTCATAAGATTGAGAGGTCTTTCTGATTCTCCACAAATGCAGAAGTACCTTTTTTTGGTGCATGTTTGATCTTTATTTTCAAGATATTTCAGAAATATCTGCCTACGTATGTGCGGGCACATACAACAACATACACCTTTGATATGGTTAAATATGTATATAAGTGAAGATATGGGTAGGTTTCTATTTAGTGAAACATACTCTGGGAAAGATCAGTTTTATAGATAAGGAAGCACAAAACATTGCGTTGTGCATGTTTGCACCCTACAGAATTGCTGCCACGTTAAGATATAGCATGAATTCATATATCCAAGAAGTAAAAAAAATTAAATAAACCAGAGTTCACATCTTGTCTGCATGAACTAAAGCTAGACTTCAAAAGGACACATTCCAGGCAGCTGGATCTTCCCTTCTCCAAATTCATGTAACACTAAAATTTTGCAGGCAAAAAAGTTACAGGACAGTGCCCTCGAATTTCTGCTAAAGACAACACTTTGCTGAGAGGTTGTGCATTTGCTAACTTTGATCAGAACAAGCTCATATGCTGAAAGTGGCAAAATTATTTCCTGTGAGCGACAAAGATGATGGAGTAAAAACAGAAAAAGACTTTAAGAGGACTCAATAGATTACAAGGTTGGAAAAGTAATTAAATTTTTAAATAAAAAAGCTGGTGTATACATAGCTCCATAATTTTTTACTTGCTTATAAATGTTAACCAAACACTGCATTATTGAAGCTGATACTCAGAACCATACTAGGAGCTAAAGTAAAGTGGGTATTTGGGGTTTTCTTGGCTACCTATCTGAATACACCCAGTCAACAACAAATTAACTCTTACCCTCCAGTTGCTGAAAAACTGTCCTCATGGAAATGCAATCACAACACAAGGTAACTTTGTCTGTCTCACTGAGGATGTTTTTGAGGTTGGATTTCAAACCAGGTCCCTCGGTTGGTAACATTCTCCTAGAATGTCCTTTTCCTGGAATCTCTTCTTTTATGCATCTCTGCAGCAACGCACAGCAGCCATACTCAGCTAGAGCTTCTCTCTCATAATTATTACTGCTTAGGTAGACTTACATTTACAGAGCAGAAAGCAGTCTGTACACACAAGCTTGTTTGGTGAGCATTTTAACCTCTACCATTTTCTAGTGCTTAATGTGTAGCTGAAGATGGCCAGCTTCTTTCCTTTAAGGGACATAAACAGGAATGCCAGCACATCCCTGGCTACTTTCTTCTCCACTGTCTTGAGTCATTTCCTTAAGCCAGAAGGGACCATTGAATCTCACAGGCCATAATATTTCAACCAAAGGTTTCCATGAATCAGTCTGACTTTGCTGTCCTAAACCAGCCCAGCTCAGCTCACTGAGAGGCACGAGCAGGAACACAACCACGAACAGCCCAGTTATCACACCTAAGAAAACAGTGGCACCAGACACTGGCACTGTATCGTGAGACAACACAGTAGGGAAACTATCCCCTTCCCAGAGCGAGGGGAAAGCCAAAAATACACAAGGCCCCAACCTATCCACCTTGCTCGGAAAGTTCAGGCTGGCTCAGCCAAGCAGATTTCCTATGTACAAAATAATCTTGGAGCACTTATTTCCTCCAGTTGCTCTCTTATCTCCTGTTGCAGACAGAAAAAAAAAAATACATGGGGCTGAAGGTGGGGACAAGGAGGAAGAAGAAGTGGCTGCATATCCGCTCAACTGTGCTCGGGAAGGAAGAGATTTCCTGGCTGTACATGTAAACGCCCACAGCTGACATGGAAGATTAGCCTACACTCACTGTCTTTGTGCATTACACGTGCATTGAACAAACWGCGATTTTCCCCTCTCCAGCACCCGGGCAGAACGAGACAGTGAGTGCTCAGTCCCACGTTTTAGGGCCAGAAAGGGATACTGACATCTTTGAGCCTGTCTAAAAAGTGCCAAGTCACCCTTGGGGACGCTCTCCACCCTCGCTCACAATGCTCTCTTCCTATTCACTTGTTACAGGAAGACCTCGAGAAGCAGTCTGTCCTGTTCCTCGAGGGAGCCCACAAACACAGGATCTCCCAGTCTAGTTTCCCAAGAAAGAGCCTCAAGCCCTAAACTGTCCTGACTCAAAGGACTGCGGGGGAAATGGACTGAAATTGGTAACAAGGGGTGAAGTGCTTCCACTTCCTATGCCCTTCTCTCCTTATCAGACAACCTGTAACAGCTTATTCCCCTCCGATGAGTAATAACAACCATATCATATTTCTCTATCTACCCTAGCATCTCCACGTTCTCTTGTTTATTACATAGGTTCCTAATGTCAGTACAAAGACAATTAGAAATGCATTCCTTACGTGCACCTCTGGTATCAAATTCAATGAGATAACATATGCCAGAAGATTTCCAAGGAGTTACTACATCACAGCAGAGGAGATGTGCTGGGAATTGAAAATTGATGCAGGATGGGAAAGGGAAATTTCATAAAGTGCTGGCAGGTCAGTTCGACTTCCCCCCCTCTCCAAGGACATCGGATAGGGTCAGTGTTTAGCAGCAGAGATGCACTGCTGGCTACAAACTATGTAAATCCTATAGTTTACAACTCAATTTTCATAGATAGATTCAGAAGTGCGGCAACAAGCAGTCACGCGTTATAAAAAAATAGCATGTTTTGTTTTGAAATTTCTTTACAGCATCTATATCCCATTGTAAACTTGGACCTAGTTCAGAGATTGATAAAAATAAAGCTCTACACACACGTAGCTTTAGAACATTCTCTTTCTCCCTTAGAATTAATAAAAATTAAGTCCAAACAACCAAAAAGTCTCCTTGAGATTGCAGTTCTTCAGGATCCGCTAAAAACACAGCTATAATCAGAGAAGCCCTGCAGCACCAGCCCTCTCTCTGGCTGTCACTGTTGCTCTTTCTGATGCTGCTGTCCTCAAAACTCTCTCTTGGAGCAGGTAACAGCCTGACCTTCCTGGATTGTGCAAAGGCATACGGGAAAGTTTCCATCAAGATGTGGAAGCAAACTTACAAAGATGAAACCTTTACATTTTGCAGAATACGGAATAATAAACACATGGAACATCTCCTCCAGCACCCATCAGGGAGAGATCAGCAAGAACAGAATTTCACAGTTTCCTCTTACCCCAAGCAAATAGAYGAAACACTTGGGATAAAGTTATTGTTATAAAGTCATTGTAAAACTTTTTCTAGAGAAGAAATAAGATGCAAAAAACAGAGAGGAAAGATAAACATCAGGCACAATTTGAAAACAGATTAAGGCATAAAAAATACAGCAACCTTTCACCACCTCTGGGATCTCTTCCGAAGAGRAATTCTCTGGAAGCTGCTGGCTGATGGGGAATGGGACTAGCAGTGGATGCCCTCGCAGCTGCAGTGGGGCACAATTCATCCTACCCTTCTTACCTGGACTACTCCAGCCTATCCATCTAGGTAATGCAAGCACCACCATCCAGCACGCTCCACTCGGTCATACTTGGGTACTAGTTCAGGTAAAACTACACACACGTGAATGTAGAGAGATCTGGAAGGTCTGCAAGACCTACTCAAATTATACAGAAAAATGGCTGCCAGCAAAAACAGCACAAGGGGAAGGCCCCAAGAGCAAACGGCTCCTTATCACTTGCTGCGCTACGGAGCGTCCCAGGGCAGGAAGCAAAGGAGAGCACAGGGATCCTTTGCTTGTCTAAAACATCCTTCCCACATCATTACTTTCCGCTGTGGAAGCCTTTTGCTTTCACCTCTGAGAAACATAAGGTGAATTCAGCAAAACACGTTTTAAAGCAACAGGAATTTGCCCAGGGCYGGGGCTTCCCTTCCCCAGCCCTCTGCCTTGCTAGGTCCACCTAGGGAACTATCCGTCATTTATTCYGTTTGCTTGCAAAATATTTCTCCTCAGATCAGAGGCATTTTCTCAGGCACGTGAAGGAGGTGCGGGCGTGGAGGACGCACTAAATCTCTCTTTCCATTTTACCGAGTTTACGCGTTTCTGGATGTGCCGTGGTTTTGCCCCAGACCAGCTCACCGCAGAGGAGGAGGACACGGGCAGCCTCGGCACGGCCTGCGCTTTCRCAGGAACTTCGCGCCGGCAAGCGGGCACACAGAGGTGCGCAGAYACTGCAAGGAATTCAAACGCTTCCTCTTACAGCCCGTCCCCGTCCTGAGCCCTCCGTCTCGCAGGGGACTTGGGGCTCCCTCAGCCTTCCCCACGGCAGCCCCAGAGGGGCAGCGCCCGGTGCGGGCGGGGCGGGTAGCGCGCCGCGCGCGCGGCCGTTACGCGCAGCCCAACGGCCGCCGCGCAGCCGTTGGCCGCGGCGCCGCTAACAAAGGCGGCGCGGGGGGGCGGGCGGGCGCGCGGCGCCGCCTCCCTCCGTCCCTCCCTCCCTGCCGGGTGCGCGGCGGCGGCGGGCGCTGCCGCCCCTGCCCCTGCCGCCTCCTCCTCCTCCTCCTCGCTGCGTGCCCGCCCCTCGGCGGCGGCGGTTGGGGCAGGCAGGGTGCTGCCGGGCGGGGTGTCTCCAGGCCGCCTTGCCCGGATGTGCTACCCTGACTCATAGGCGCGCCGCACGCACGCTCCGCTCCGCGCCCCCCGCACCGGCGGCGGCAGCACCGGCCACAGCGGCGGCGGCGGCGGCAGCAGCAGCAGCAGGAGGAGGAGGAGGAGGCCGCGGCGGCGCCATGGGTAAGTCACCTCCGCGCCTCCCCTCGCGGCCGCCGCCCGCCCGTGCCCGGCGACTTGGCGCAACTTCCTCGCCGGGCGCCTGCCTCGCTCGCCAAAGTTTGCGCGGCCGCCGCCGCCGCCGCGTGAGAGCGCTGCCCGCGCCCCGCGGCGCGCACGAGGCGGCGAGCGAGGGGCAGGGCGAGGGCTTACATAAGGCGCCCCCAGGCCACCTCCCGGCATTGTCTGCCTCGGGAGCCTGATGCGCTCGGGAGACGAGCCTGGGATCCTTCCTCGTTAGCCGGGAGAGACGCGAGCAGCCGCCTCTGCCCCAGCTTTTGGAGCGAGCGCGGCTCACGCCGCCAACTGCTGCAGCCATGTTACCTGTGCCTCCGTGCTGGCAACGGCGTGGTGKCACCCGGCTCGCCACTTGGGTGGATGCTCCAACAAAGCCCGGGCGAAGCCGTGCAGCGCTCTGCTTTCCTGCACAAAGCACTCGCTGCGCTTCCCCCGCGGAGCGCATCCCTGCAAGGCCATGGCTGCGGCAAGGGTCCCAGAGAYGGGTACCCCGCGACCCTCACGAGCCACCGAGCCCCTGCCCGGGCTGCGAGGGTGGGAGCTGGGACACAGCTCTGYGCAGGGAGCTGGGCAGAGCGTGCCAGTTCCTCACCTGGGCTCCCGAGCTSGACATCAGCACTTCCTGTGGGCTTGGTACCTCAGTAGTTTCTTTGGAGATGACATACACCTTTTATCCTTGACTGGAAGTTTCCATGGAAAGGAGGAGTTGCAGTGCCTCAAGTTTTTGGTGTTGTTTTTCTTTTCTGTTTCTGAAATGGGAATAATTACGTACTTTTACATTTCATTTAAAACAACAGTCTAAGGATTACTAAACTTCTGGAGAGTGGTTAAAAAAGGAAGTTTCCTAGGTTAGGCCCAAAGAGCAACCATCATATTTCAGCAGAGTAATGTAGAACCTCRGTGATATAGTGAAGGTCCATCTTCTCATGTGAGCTGAAAAGATAAGACCCCAGGATTTGGTTTAAAGATACACAGAGCCTCTCTTTATTCACACAGTAGCACTATTCATCATTCTAGTCGAAGTCTAGCTGGGGCAACTCTGTTTTGTCTTCCATAAATCAAATCTACACAGCATCAGTTAAAATCTGTTCAAGAAAGAGCTGCTGGAGTGCTGCACTCCTTTGCAGATAAGGCTACATTTCAGTTGCAGGTGAGTTTGTAAAAAGCTTGAGGATCTGCTACACCTTGCTGTGTAAGTAGGGCTACATATAATGATTTTCAGGAGGACCGAAATAATTTTCCTCTACAGTCTGACAGCACCCATCCATAATTGACCAGGTAGGCTGCTCATGAAAATGCAGAGAAACACGTTCTTTTTCTCTGCTTCTCCAACACACTGGCCTGCACCCACTGTGTCTTTACTATGAAGGGAAACTCTAAGTAGCATCTGCAGCAGCTCTTGTTGCTCTGAGGAGTGAGTGACAGAGACTGAAATCCTTTCCCCCTAGGCAAGCAACTAATAATGACTTCCCCTGTTTGAGCTCATAAAATCAATACAATAGCTTCCCTCATTCAGCTTCTGGCCTTCTTTGTGATAGTGCATCGCATAACCTTTGAAAATCCTCAGATTTAAATTGAAGATGAATGTTTGCAGCATTTAATATTTTTCCCATAGCTTGTATATCCTTTCATAAATCACACCCAACAAACAAGCATTCATAGCAGGCAGCACAGAAGCACAGCCTTAAGATTAAACATTCAGACTATTTTATATTTACAAAGGTTAGAACAGCATTTGCCAATTCATATATTAATACAAAACGTATATTCTAATTTCATTGAAAAGATTTCACAGAATAGTTGAGGCTGGAACTCTAGAGATCATCTAGGTTTCTGTTGCTAAAAYTGCTTATATGTATATATGGATCTGTGCTATATTTACTGTATAGAAATATGTGCTGCTCTAGTTCCAAATATTTATTCCTCTGAAGGCAGTCTCATGGCACTTATCACTTAAAGGACAATATTTTCCTCTAATATCAGTCTTCTCAAAACTATCATTTTTGTCTCCTATTTATGGTTTGTTTGCTTTAAAAAAATCCCCAAATACAGTTTAAAAAATGTTTAATTTTGGGCTTTGTAAGTCAAGTTGCCGTAGGTACTGCAAGAAGTAGAGCACTTTCAGCATCAGGGTGACACCTGCACCACAAGTGCTTTATTTTTATAACAATTGCAGGTTTCTACTTTTCAGTTACTTAGTTACAAATTCTGTTCTCTAAGGAATTGATCCTTCCTCCCCACCCCAGGCAATTAAAAAAAAAAAAAGAAAAAATGCAACATGTGTATCCTTGTGCAACACATTGTATCCAGCAAAGTTTTACAATTTTATGGCAGTAGCCTGTGGAGGTGAGGCAAACATGTTGCAGATATTCCACAGGCTTGAATTAACACAATAAAAAACAAAAACAGTTTCCTGTGGCTCCAGAAGTTGGAGAACCACCATACATAATATTGTTTACGCTGCATACTTCTGAGTACTTTCCAGTTAGCTGCACAAACTGTCATTGCTCACCTAATCCATTTCTCATCAGACACATCAAGAACAGAAACTTTCATCGCCCACCTCCTTCCACTATACTCATTTTTTCCCCCTCTCACTTCCCCTGAAGAATTACAACATGCAAATATGTATCAGGCTTTGGGGTCCAGCCCAAGTGGCTATTGCGAATGAAATCTAAATTGAATCACAGGTCCCACTTTAAACCAGCGCCAGCCTGACTCCAGAACATTGGGGCACTAAATAGCAGGATGGTGTTGAGCTTCAGACATGGCCATGTGCAATATTGGTTTCAGGAAGAAGAGGATAAGCCTGTGTTCTTTTATATTAAAAGGAAAAGAAATAAAGTAGGAGCAGTAATCAATAGCCTCAAACACAAGAGGAAGAACAGCTAATGAAAAATAGTCTTTCATTTTGGAGCTCTTTTGCTAGTTTTCTCACAAGGGATGAAACTAAGTCTAATAAATTAGAAAAGTGCTAATTGCACAAAATGGTCTTTTTTYCCCCTTCTTTTAAAGTTTTACTAAAACAATGAGATTTCTTGCAACACCAGCATATTAGTTCTAGCCAGCCAGACTATATCAGTTTAAGCCAGTGTAAGATTTTGTATTAGCGTTTCCCAGACAAAACTGATTTCAGCAAAATTCTTAATATTTCACAGACAAAACACAGAAGTGACTGACTCTAGAATATACCTCTTTTTCAGTAAAGTTCCTGGAAGTTGACATTTCTTTGTTTCTGAGGAAATCAAAGAGGCTGGGTTAGAAAGGCAGCTCCCACTGACATTCCCTGATGAATACTATTCCTATCTTTAGGCCACTATTTATGATCTTTCGTTATTATGCAAGACAAACTCATCAATTTTGTATTTAGCTTTATGTTGAAGGCTTCATTCAAGAGTACATTTCCTAAGAGCTAAATATGCAGAGGTAGTTTCAGAAGTCAGCAAGGAACATCTGGCTTTCTATCGAGTCCAAAGTGGAAAGCAAAAGAGCAAAAGAACAGATGAAATGTTAAGGAAACAAAGCAGTAATAATGGAAATGAGAAAACTACCCAAGCAAGATACAAGAACAGAAAAGAACAAAAAACCCTTAAGGGAGATGTGTGGACAGAGAGAAATACCAGAAGCAAGGAGATTTAAGAAATAAATGAATGGAACAATAGAGAATAGAATTAATTAAAAGAAATTAGGACCTATACATCCATTCCTTTGCAGAAGAAAGGGGGGAAGGGGGAGAAGATGAAAAACCAGCCAAAATATATGTCTAAATAAAATTTGACAATATTTTGCCTCTCTTTGAAGTRTATTTTGGCTAAAGCCTGGAGGAGATTCTTTGTAATTTTCAGGCTTCCTCAACTAAAGCTTATCTATTTCTAGAAATGTTGAGGCTTCATCTTATGTACTTGTAAACATATAAAAATAGATAAATATAAGATCAATGTAAGCTCAAGCTTGTTCAACTTCAACAACATCATCACTATTTGACAGGTAGAAGGCTATAAAGTTCCATCCCTTGCTTCTTCCTCCAAGAGCTTGAYGGTTTTCATCCTCAGCTCTGTCCAGTTCATGTGCTTGGGTGACAATGAGACRTTTAATGGGGACTCCTTTACGTAAAGGAAAACCTACTGACCCCTGTTGGCTTGTCCAGCTGGGACTGTGCACCGGCCGTGTACTATGAAAATAATGAGCATTCCGCTGTCTTTATACTGTTGGAGCAGTTAGGTTTAAGACTCTAACTTGTCTTCTAAAACTGATTCAAGATTGCACCTAAACTGCTGAAAATTAAGTCTCAAAATGTTGATTTGTGTTCTCCAGCTAATAGATGAAATTTCTGATTAGAGCTTGACTGTAAATTAGGCAGGGAGCTTTTCCTAGTAGGGAATTTTCTAAGYAGCAGCTTTCACAGCATGTATAATCTCCCAAGGCCTCTCCTTTTATTAAATGTGTTTTAGAAATTTGTTTCATGAGAGTGCATCTGGAAAAGTTTCTTGACTTTGACATTGCGCTTCTCCCTTGACAATGACAGTCCAGTAACTTTAATTACTGAAACTATTTTAACACTTTTAGCCTTAGAAACAACCTCAAGTATGCATGTCACCATTACAGGGGTAGAGGCACATTTGTTCACTTCTCTAACATTGCAAATTTCATTCCCGTACCTGTATTCCGTTCTCTTGATGAGAAATCCCATGATGGTCTCAATCTACAGCACCCAGCAGGCACAGCAGAATTCAGTACTGACAGATCACTGCTTGTGCTGCATGAAGGCTTTGGAACATTTCCTTAAATCAAAACACTGTTTTATCTCAACAGCAGTAACAAAGCATCAAAAAAGAAAAAGGTTTTAAAACCAAAGCAGAATGCTACATCTTTCTTATCTAAACCTCCCCCGCCCACAGCACGTTTAACTTACCTCTCCCAGGCATCTGGAGGAACCATCTAGTCAG